ATAAGCTACCCCTCAGCATGTCCTCTGTGTTTATTTTGAGAACGCAAATCCCATTTCTCTCTTTAATGAAGTATAGGTGAGGAGAGAAGGGTGTCGGCCGATGCCGGTGATAGTCAGTGACATGCAGAGTGTTGAAGAAGAAGGAATGTGGAGGACAGCAGGAAATCCCCCACAAAAACACACACAGAAGCCTGGCAAAATAAAGCCTGTCTTAATCTGAGTGGAGAGAAATCCCTTCCAAGGGCAAAGAGCCCCCATGGTGGTGAGAGGCTTCTGGGAGCCCACAGAGAGGGTGGATGTGTTTGTATGGAACTCACAGTACCCTGCTTGGAACAAAGTGATATAAATAATGACAACAATTGCCAGTGCACTTATTGAACACAAGGTTTGTGTTGAGTTATATATATATATATATATATCCTCCCACAGTAAAATTAGTCAGGTTCCAAGATAATTTGTTCTTGGTTGGAAAAGAAAAACAGAGTGGGATGTTTCACATGTTGCCATGGGTGTCTTTCAGACATCGTTTGCGCTTGGAATAGTGCTCAAGTTCACTTTAATGAGGAATAGGCTGTATTTAATAGGTGGAAGGACTCATTAGAGCAGTGGTTCCCAACCTTGGCTGCACATTAGAATCACCTGGGAATCTTTTTAAAATCCTGATTTCTGGGCCTCACCCTCCAGAAATTGTTTCTTTGTTACTAATGTTGTGGCCCCACCCCATAACAAAGAAACAGAATTTCCAGAGGATGAGGGCCAGAAATCGGGATTTTAAAAAGATTCCCAGGTGATTCTAATGTGCAGCCAAGGTTGAGAACCACTGCACTAGAGAAGTGTAGGGAAATAACTTGAGGACAGTCAGTGGTTCTTAAAACTGGTTTCGACTTCCTTGAAGGTCTTTCAGATGGTTACAGGTGGCCTCTGAGACTAGCATTTGTAATGTGACTAGGTCCGCTCTGGATTCTAGCACAATACAGTTAAGAATCTCCCCGTTGGCCGTGGCCGATGTGGTTCAGTTGGTTGGAGTGTGGATCCCGTACAACAGAAAGTGGCAGGTTTGATCCTGGCCAGAGCACATACCCAGGTTTCAGATTCGATCCTAAGGACTTTTGCTTGGCCAAGATGTCTAAAAATAAAACAAGAACTGCATCTTTAGATTTATTTCATTCATCAGGGCAAAAAGAAAATAGTGTTCCATTTTCCTCTCGTTTCTACACTCCTAATTCACACAATCAGCAATGGAGAAGCCAGACCCAGAGGCCTCTGCATTCACTTAACTTTGGTGCTTCAGAATATGGACTCTGGATCCAAAAGCCTGAGTTTCTGTGAGATTCCATCACGCACTAACCAGGTAGTCTTGGGCAAATTTATTTATTAGTTAATTTGGGGCAATAATAGTACCTGCCTGATAGGCTTGTATGAGGGTTAAATAAAAGAATCTAAGAAAACAGCTCAGCTAAGGACTTTGGCAAAGAGTGAGCACTAGATAATGTAAACTGTTGTTATTTTTATTCCTAGTTTGCAGACTCTGCCCTGGATGTTTCATTGCATTTTTCTCAGATTAGCCAGACTACAGACCAGTGTCTGCAGAACAGGGAAACATTCACCGCCTGTCTGGGAGGTGGAGTCAGCTTCTGGGCACTTAAAACATGCTGAGAAGAGTCTGGGAAGAGTGTGTCCACAGGGCCAGGCCCAGAGATAGCAAATACCTTGGTGATAAAGTTTTGTGTAGACTGCAGGGAGCAGAATTTGCTCTGTTTTCTAAAGGAAAGGTAATATGCAGTTCATAATTAGTCCATATAGATAAACAACTACCCTGAATTTCCTTGGGCAGAGTTCTTGCCCAGCATACCTCATCCTGATGTGACAGTAAACGCTAAAGTCCTTACAAGGTTCTCACAATCTGCCCTCATCTCCTCTTCTGTTCCCCTTCTCTGTTCTGCTGGCCGCAGGGCCTTTGCACTTCTTCCCCTTGCCTGGGAGAGAAAATGAGCTGGCTCCCTCTGTAACCTTTGTCTGTAGTCTTCCCTGACTCTGTTTAAAACTGCATACTCACCCCACCCCTCTGGCCTATCCTTCTTCCTTGCTCTGAAGTTCTCCTTGGCACCATCACCTTCTAACATCCTATACCAATTATTTGGTTCTTTGTCTCGCTCTCTCACCAACCTCCAATGTAAGATCACCAAGGGCCAATTTGTGTGTTTTGTCTATTGTTGTATCCCTGGAGCCTCAAGCAGGTGCCTGTGTGCTCAGGGTTGGTGGAGTGACTGTCAATAAATCCCCACACCAGTTCAACGGCTGGGCCTGGCCTCCAGCGGAGGTCTTTCTGTAGAGTACTCTCAGAGGGCTTTATTCAGGAGAGGCACTTCAAAGAATTCTTTCAACACGAGGTAACACTCTCAGCAGCTTTGTTTCATGGCCAGCGTCTGGACCACAGCATCATCAAATTGCCTACATCATGGGATGTCAGAAGGGAAGTGTACTCCAACCATCTCGGTATTCCTGTAAACTGAACCAAAGGCTGTTGATTTTGTACTTTATAGAATGAAAGTATGAGGTTGCTTAAAATTTCTAGTTCCCAATTTCTGGTTTTTCAGGAAGCTTTATGTGACTCTGCTAATTTACCTACCATTGACAATATTTTGATAAAGCCTTATTTTTCTCCTGAAGGTACTTATTTTAGTGATGAGTTCATGGATTATCTTTTCCCATATTTTCCTGCATTTTCTTTAATAAGCATGTTACTTGAAAATGATAAATGACCAATGACTTTGGGGGAGGGGCTCCCTACTAACCCCTTTATAAGGCAGAGAAACATTTTTTCAAATCCCATGTTCAAAGTCCCATCAGTTCTCAGAATCCCTGGAGAGCCACTTGCTTGAAGAACTGACAATCCCAGTGAAAGATGAGAGGGAGGACTTGCATAATCTTGGCAAGATTATTAATACTAGATGAGTTTCTCATCCAAGGATTCAAAAGTATTTTCAAGAAGCCCTGACCAGAGAGTGAGATTTGACTTTATAATCCAGGCCAACAAGGGCCTATGGCCAACAGAACTTTTGGGCTTCTGAGAAGACTGTGAGGGGCAAAGGATGCTTTGATTGGCATCCAAGGGGATGGTGTGCAGTCACTTTCATTCGAAAAAAAATAATGCAACCCCGGCTATTCATAAGGTATTTAGGATCACACACAAGTTAAAATGAGGTTAGGTTAGAGTATACACAATACATAAAGGTGCTTTACACACTGTAAAGGACTCTGTGAATATTTGGTGTTGATGTTTCTCATAAGCTAGGTCCTGAATTTATCTATAGGAAACATGAGTTTGAGTTTAAATAGTAATATGAGTCGTGTGCCTTTGAACCAGTCATTCCATTTTTTTTTAGTGTGTTTCCTAATTTAATGGTCTTACCTCACGTGATTATTTAAAAGCTCAAACGGATGTGGACATGTTGGAAAGCATGTAGGATCAGAGGTGTTATATTCTGTAGGCTTTGAGTTGGTCAAGGCCTCCTGGAATCTAAAATGCAGTATGTACCTCTTCTTATGAGAATCGTGTTAGGTTAAAAAAAGCCTATATTTGAGATAAATATGCTCCCACAGTTAATATTTAAATGAATTCATTTCTGCAATGGTTTCCCTTCCATATTATTTCCAAACAATATTCCTTAAGGGAGGTGTTTTGTTTTTTTAATGCCCTTGACCAGAATCGAACCTGGGACCCTTCAGTCCACAGGCCGATGCTCTATCCACTGAGCCAAACCAGTCAGGGCAAAGGGAGGTGTTTTTGTTTGTTTTCTTCTTCTTCTTTTTTAAAGCAGGCAGCCAGAGGGCAGCTGTTTCCAGTTTACCAAATCAGGAACCTCTACACAGGCTGGAACCCTACATAGCCTTCCCTGAAGATGTACCTGGGAAGGCTATACTGTCTATGGAAATACAGGGCTGCTCTGTGTATGGAGTATCGAGGATATCCAAGACTGAGTTAAAATGCTAGAAGACGGTAAGAAGGGCTGAAGAGGCAGAAGGATTAACAAGGTGGCCATAGTGATGGGTTTGCTGGTGGGAAGATGTTTCTAGCCTCTTGGAGGGGGGAAGGTTCTGGCCCAAAGCAGATCCAGCCTCCTGTGGGTTTGGCAGGCCATCTGGCCCCCAGTCTGTGATTGGGGCCAAGGCCTGGAGAGGGGAACCCTGTTATGGCCCAAGGTGGGAAGACGCTGATCCTCATTCAACAGACTGCAAACTCTCCGTGGGCAGCATGCCTGAGCCAGCATGACACCTATAGGTGCTCATAAATGATGAATCAATAACCGGAGTGGTTGAACTATTAAGTGACAACAGGAGCATTTGCAAGCTGCCCAGCACCCTTGCTGGTGATAAAAATAGGTTTGTGTGAACAAGAGGGACATCCATAATTCTACCAGAGGAGCCTCAAGCCAGAGAAACACCATTTTCTTACTGTTATTGGGATAGCACTGTCCCTGAAGCTACCATAGGCTAGAGAATCACTTGTTGTTGTTTTTTCCTACAGCTATTTAAATCTAATAGTCAGGCTACAAAATTCTTTGGTTGATAGGTGCCACATTTCACAACACCTACACTATAGTACCTGTGATAGTATAATTATAATTCGTAGTTTTTAAATCTAAAAAATGTAGTCCATCAATTCAAAATTTTGAGATCTTTAACACTGTTATCCATGAAACTAGGAATATTTATTCAATTAGATTGAAATCCTCAGAGAAATCTACTCCATAGCTTTAAGGGGTGAGAGGGAATATTTGATCTGCTTACAAGTGAGGATTTGGGGTATACCAGTATGTGTGGTTTGGGGGGGGTTGTAGATTTTTAATTTTTTTATATTTTCCTACTTCTAGGGGCATATCAAGTATCATGACCTTCTCCTGGCAATGACTGTCTAGATAAAACCTTTCTTTAAGATGGGCCTTGTCAAAGTAGCCCTGGTCAAGGGCTGTGGCAAAGAGATGTTGACAGTACAACAATCCATGTACAAAATCAGTTTAATGATCATTTCTGTAAGTAGATTTAAATAAACAGAAAATAGTTCGAACGTTACCTTGCCAAGCAATCAAGCAAAACACTGGGTCCAACACTATCTGCAGGCTGAGACCTTGAGGGCAATGGCTGGGCCCTCTCTGAGTAAGACGTGAGTGCCATCTGGAGGATCTACTTGAAACTACAGCGCAGCAATCGTGAAACCTTACAGTACAATTTGTGAAAAGGTGGTCAACATAAGCAGGAATGTGGGACCTTCAACGCGTGGCCTGAGCTCCTGCTGTTTTTCAAGCTTCCAGTAGAGGATTGAGAATGTTCCGGAATGAGGTACTTTCAGCCGAGGTGCGAAATGAAAGCCTACCACCGGAAGAGTATCAACATCAGCTTGTTAATTAAATATATAGGTCAGGAAGTACTAGGCAGCAGAGAAATGGGCAAATGTGTCCCCAGTCTAGTACGTCCTACCATCCCCTCATCCTACTCTGGCTAGGGTCCGATATAAATCCATCAGAATTTTTATTCATAGTATGTAAATGGACTGATAGTTTAGTTTTTTTCAGAGGCATTTACATTTTAATAGGTTGAAAGTACTTGCTTAAAAAACGAGAGAGAGATAATGAGCAGAATTTCCAGTAGATGCCAATTATTTGAGGGGGTCTGGTGAAGACAATCATCTCCTTTATCAAATAATTATTCCTTTTAAACAAACTAGGCCTGTTCCTTACCATACACTCATTTTAATGAAGATGTTTTAAAAGAGTATTTAATCCTTTAAAAGTCTGAGTATTAATGAACAAACATCTGCATTTCCTGTGTTTACATGTTACTACCCCCTACCTCAAGGCTTCTCAAATATCTGTGGTGAAAACGTAAAAAAAAATTTCAATCACTTGAGGGACCAACACTTGTGTAAATTAAACTAAGAATTTGATGGCAATATCTACAAGTTTGGTCTATCTTGTACTTATCTTGGGCCTCAAGATCTCAGCCACCATGACCACCAGTTACGTTCAAGAGCTTGACTTACATCTTCCTTCCAACTTTTAAAAGAGCATGGTCTTTGAATCCATACTAATGAACATTTCAAGCACTTTCTATTCCCCATTTTAAACTGACCCTCTACTTGTCATGTGTTTGCACAACTCCCCCATGCCCTTGCTTAGTCCAACCCGATTCAGTTTGCTAACTTTATTTGTGGTGGATTTGGCCTAGACACCAGAAGCTTGTGTAAGACACTTGGGTAGCACAGAAGTCCATGTACTTGGGGATTAATAGAGGCACCCATCTAGGAAAACTACAAAGCTGACAAAACATACATTTTCTTGATATAAAGATTATAGGAAAGCTTCGGTTGAATATTTTTCTTTCTCATCCTCCCCTTCTTCTTTTTTGCCAAAAATAAGCAGGTTGAAAGAGTCTTTTGATTGATAAACAATCCTTCATCCACTGGTTGAAAAGCAACACATTCTTTCTTTCTAATCCCAGTAACCCCAAACCGCAAATTTCACATGGCCATATATTAAGGAGTGTTCATACATTTCCATTTATAAGGCACAAACCCAAACATCTCTCAGGGAAAGAAAGAAAACAAAGATTTGAAGACAACAAGATAATCTAGTAATAGAAGATGTTTGTCAAAGTGGAGTGAAAACAAACCACTTCCCTTTTCGGTAAATGGGAACCTTATACTGATAGGAAATGCAGCCTCCCGCGGCTCCTCTGTCAACGCAGCCTCTTTCACTGGACCACAGCGAGGTGGGTCCTCTGGAGGCTGCATGGCCAGAACACATCAATGGCAAGTACCACTTACCCCGTAGAAGCTGCTGGGCAGTGATGTCTGAAATGGGACATTCTAGCTACAGGGTGCCCCACTCACCATTCATACTCCAAGGAGCCTCCGGGGACCAACCACAGAGCGCACACACACTTCCTGTCCTGGGGCTTGACTGTTTTAAGGGTTCAGCTCTCAGTGGAGATAAGTGCCTGTCTGAGGACCCTGAACTGGGCTAGTTATGTGGGTCCCTTGTGGTGTGGCATGTACTTAAAAGGCTGGACCCTGGGTTCCTCTTGAAATAATTAGATCCCTAGAGGGATCCTTAGAACCAATTCATTCTACCAGGGGCTTTTTGAACACGCTGGCCAAAATCTGGAGAAGACTCCCTGGAGCAAGCCCCAAATCTTCTGGCCTGTCAGGCAGCTGTAACAGACCTCAAGTAATCCTCCAGTCCACGGGTATACAACAGTGGGCCCTAGGATACCAAACAGTATCCAAGCTTATTGCCTGGGCCTCCTGATGGCTCTTGGCACTGTACTTTCTAGTACCGTCTGCATTAGTATTATATGAGAATAAGCTTCCTGGATAGCCACATGGATCCACGCAACTACTTCACAGTCCTGTATGTTACCAAGGTCTGAAGGGAGTGATCAGCACTTTAGAGGAAATAGCCAGAGAGATGTCATCCTGAGAAAAGGGTCAGAGTTAGAGTGGGTGAGAGAGGAGAGATCAGAAATCAGATGAACTGGATAATTCATTGTCTGAAGGTTTCACTGAATCTTGAAGAGTCTGAATTCTCCACCTTGGACAATCTGAAACCCAAAGGAAATGGGTCCTTGGGTCAATTTATTCAATTACCAAAGACCAGCAACAGTAGGATGGCTGGTCCAATATGGTGTGGACCAGCCACCTCCTTATTTTCCAGTCCAAGTTTATCACCCCTCCAGCTCCAGGACTTGCCCCTGGAGGCATTAGTCAGAATTTTACTAAATTTTCAGGCATGAATATGGTCCTTAATTCAGTGCCCCATGATCTTAGCCAAGGTCCCTTCCTTTCCTGTGTCTTGAAAGGCTATGACCCAGATGGAAAAGGAACACTCCTTTTATTAACAACATAACTCTTGAATCCTTTGGCTTCCCAAAGGCATGGCCATAGCATATCCTTGGATATATATGTATTAATGTAAAAGCCATTAATACACATTAAAACTCTTAAAAACAAAAAGTCAGCTCCTGTGTTTGTATCACATTTCCCCCAAATCGCAATGGGGTGCCTCCACAGTTTGCCCACCCTGCCAGCCTCAGGACTCTTTCTTCATCAGTCTGGCCTTGACTTTGCGCCTCAGGAGGGCTGCAGTGGTGGTGCTGCAGGCGGTCAACAAGAAGAAGGACAGACAGGCCACGTAGACAGACAGGGGACTGTGGCGCTGCAGGAAGATCTCCTGCCGCCCCTGGTAGTCCAGGAGGATGGCCTCCAGCTGGGAAAGCGTGCAAATGGACAGAAATACATGGAAGAGCTGATGCCCGTGGCCCACAATGTCACAGGAACCGGGGAAGTACTTCTCAGGAACCGGGCAAGAGAAGAAGTAGGCGCTGACCAGGAAGAAGAGGATCTGGAGGGTGTGGTACCAGGCGGCCTGCTCCTGGCAGCCAGCCAGGTGGCATAGGGCCACTCGGTGGGCCACGGGGCTAATGTCCAGAATGAAGGCCAGCCCTGAGGGCACCACCTGACATATCTTCTTCATGATTGGGTAAGGCTTCTGATAACGATACTTGGCGTAACAACAGCCAGCGCAAGACAACCAGCCACAGAAGGCAGCTGCTGGAAGGAAGAAGAGCCAGAAGTGCTCATACCAGCCCTGGTCGGAGGTGTAGAAGAAGTGGACCAGGGCGCTGCCGTATTGGTAGATGCTCACCCCCACGTAGTCCACGAAGTAGAACGTGTAGTGGGAGAGCTCCGACTGGGACTGCAGCAGGTGGGCCAGCACGCTGAACAGGAGGTAAGTGATGGAGGACAGGACGTAGATGAGCAGGGGCAGGGTGCTGGCAGAGGCCCAGGGCAAGGCCTCGGCTTCGGCAAAGGCCCAGAATCGCAAGAGGACAGCCAGGGCCGCCAACAAGTGGGTCCAGACGTTGACCACCTCGTTGTGTTTCTGGAAGAGGCTGAGGAAGTAGTAGCGCCACCTGTGGCCCGTGGGGCGGTAGCCGGTGTGGATGTAAGGCTCCCGGAACAGCTGGGGCACATCTGTCTCGGGGACGGTGCAAGGCATCTTGGGAAGCCCATTCTCCAGGATCTTGGGCAGGCGGCGCAGCTGCTGCCCGCTGACCGACAGGGTGCTCAGGTGCTCCAGGATGGCCGTCGTCATGGCTGCCTGGCACGGCAGGGCGGGGGGGTGCAGCCTAAAGACAAGAAAGGAACATCAGCAAAAATGCAGCGAGAGAGGGACTGAGCTAAGGGAGCAAAGCAACTATGGGTGTTCTTAATGAAACGCAGCTTTCTCGTGCAATACGGAGGCAGAAAGCTGCAGGCAGCTCTGTGAGCCTTTCTTCTTCTTTTTTAAAAGTTATTTATTTATTTATTTTTAAATCCTCACCCCAGGATATTTTTTCATTGATTTTTAGAGAGAGTGGAAGAGAGAGAGAAATACCAATGTGAGAGAAACACATCGATTGGTTGCCTCCTCCACGGCCTGGGCCTGAGAGGAGCCTGCAACCGGAGGTACATGCCCTTGACCAGAATCCCAACCCGGGACTAGGCTCTATCCACTGTTAGGAAACGCAGGCTCTATTCACTGTTAGGTTGGTAAAAACCCATGTATATTCTGGGAAATATTTGACCAGTTAAACAAATTTAACATAAACTCTAATTGCAAAGATTGTTTTTTGTTTTTTAAGTTATACTCTGAAAAGGAGGTAGTTTTGGGCTTCTCTCTCCTGGATGCTTACATCTCTGCTCAATGAATTTTAGGTCCCCCAAATGCTGAATTTACATTTGAAATTTCTGTTGACAGATGAGCCAGCTAAGCACGGCAATTATTTCATAAAATAGTTCGTAAAATAGCTGCAAAGTTTCAAGTGAAGTTACTGAGTCAAGAAATGGATTTTTAGCATGTCTACAGTTACCTTCTGTAATTCATATTTCCCAAACCCTTTTCCTCAGAAAAGTGCAGCAAGTGCTTCTCAGGGCACTACTAATGTAGTGAAGAAATGTCATCTTCCTACTCACACACCTTAACATTGAAAAAGAAAAAATATCTAAATGGTCTAAAATGTAGGACATAGAAACTAATAAAATGTGAAAGAACCTCAGGGAGACCTGAGGTCAAGCCCTGGCTTTTGGCCACTTACTGGGTAACCTGGGGCAAGTTACAGCGCTCACTAAGCTTCAGTTCCCTCATCTGCGACGTGGGAGTAGTAATTTTACGTATCATATGGATGGTTGGGGGTGGCTAAACGAAAGAATTTAACACATAAAGTGCGTAGCACCCTGCCTGGCCCAAGACGAGCGCTCAGTAAAAGCTAAGTACTGCTGTTATCTGTGTTACTATGAGCTGGCCTTTGTGCTAGGGATACAAAGACTAAAAAGATATGCTGCCTGCTTTTCAAGGTCAGAGTCTACTGAGGCAGACAAGTAGGGACGTTATGACCAAAACATGGATGTGTGCTCCACGGAGGCGAGCGCTGGCTCACGGTGTCTCTGCAAACATAAGCAAAATAGACAGAAGGCCAGGGAGCGGTGCGCAAGCTTCTACAAGTGACCCCTGAACTGGGTATTGAAGGAAAATCAGAATTCCCAAGAGAACATGAGGGGGAAAGAGAGCTGTAGGCAGAGAGCAAGGTCAAAGCACTTATGCCAAAATAAGGACCCGTGCAGCCTGGAGCGCCCGAGGAGGTGGCAGGTGGCGTGTGTGTGGTCTGAAGGAGGACATCGGCACCAGAGACCTGAGCCCTGCCCTCCACAAGGACAAGCCATGAGCTCCAGCCTGGGCTCTGTCATCTGAGAAGTTGAGCGACTGATAAAGAGAAGCTGCCTCACAGGCTGATGTAAGGACTATTATGACGTCATGCCCTTAAAGTGTTTAACAGAGCGCTTGGTTCCAAGTCCACAAAACATCTGCCATGATTACGACCATCTCCAGTGGGAGAAGTGGGGGCAGTTCACGAGTGGACGACCTAATGCCCCCTCCGTGCCTTGTATCTACTTGTATGGTGGCCCTGAAACCTGGGACTGAGTCATTTCTTTAGCTAGTACAGGCCAGTGATTCCCTACCAGGACCAAGCCATCAACTAGTGCTCAATATAAAAATTAGAGAACCTTATTAAGAATCAGAGTGTCAGCCAGAAAGACAGGTAAGGGTGGGAGAGAGATAGAGAGAAAGTTGTCATCAGAATACCTTAATTCATTCAAAACGAGCAAAACAAGAAAAAGCTAAGCAGTGCTTTTGCCGCCAGCGAGCAGAGGGATTGAGAACCTGGGGGTTAATAGATGGAGATTCCAACTGACCTGGGTGGCAGTTGGTGACAGAGCACAGCAGGGGTAAGGGAGGGGGACACCAGCAGGTAGAACAGGTGGGGTACACAGGTCCCAGATCAGGTGGATGCACTGTAGGGCTGGGCCTGGGACATGGGACGACATTTCAAACTGTGCTGATGCTGGTGACTGAGAAGCATGTAATCTAGGGGCACTGGGCTTGTTGGAGCTCTGGGGAATTAAAGGACTCTATTCTTTAGATACAAACATAGTGGGAAATCAGATGAAAATGTTGATTTTGTGTCTGGGATATGGGCTGTAGGACTCGCTGAAGATGTGGCCCGGCACGCCCACCTGCGTTGATCAAGCGAGTTTCCATCATCTCTGGGCACCCCAAGCAATCGCAGGCCATTCTGTATCCAGAGTTGAATAACACATGACTGCACAGTTTCTGCTCATCTTTGCATCCTCGAAAATGGGATGCCTGACACAATAGCAGGTTTTTATAAGCTGATGACACAACTGAATTTCTAAAGATTAAAACCATGGGTCTGGGTTGTCTATTGGTTGGAACTAAGTCCAGTTCAGACCTGGGAGCCAACTGGCATCTGTTTGTTCTGAGGAAGAAAAGACAGATTATGATGCTGCTTTATTGGCAATTTTCAGAAAACCCCATCTGACCCTGAGTTTCTCCAGCCCTCATCTCACCAACGTAACCTCCTGGCTTTATGTTGACAAGTCCTGATCATGAAATCATTGCCACTTCTCTTTCACTTACGGAAACTGAACTAGGAAGAGGTTTATAGAAATAAGAAACAGAGAAGTATAAGACCAAAAGGATATTCACTTTAACTTCAAAGGAAAGGGTGCACAGGAAAAAATAATAAAAATAAAAATAAAAAGGCAGAATCTTCATTTCCCTTGAAAATGAGGTCTCCTTTCTCAAGGATCCTTAGAATGCAGCCACATCAGTCTCAGGGGCTCCTTAACTCCACCCTCTGGAGTGTGTAACCCAACATTCACCGCAAGTTCCAGGGACCTGACCTCCATGGCCTCCAACTCAGGACACCATCTCTTATCTCCCTCAGCAATGAGGTGATAAAAAGATCTAGGTCCTCTATCTGTGGGTGACAAGGACCTCAATTTCCCTTTGGAAGTCCAAGGTCATAAAAAATTCTAAACTAATGATTGGGAAGAGTGGGGATTAATTTTTAATCCTTTGCTTAGCAACTACCTCTTCCACGGCCATAAAATTCTCCCTTTGTGTGAGAGCAGCCACCACTGCCACAGCGATGGTAATAAGTTATAATTCTTTATCATCATTAACTTCAGAAGCCGCTGTCCAGTGGGGTCCGACCACCTTCCTAGACAGGCCTTACCTGCAGTTAGGCTTCAAAGGGCCAGCTGTAAAGTCTGGGAGCCCGTTTTGGAGGAAGCACATATTGGCATCATGATGTTGTTGCAGAACACACTTCTCAGCCTTCCCATTGCCGGCCCTGAGCAAGGGCCCCTCCCTCATTCCTGGCCTCTGTCCCCATGCACCCTCCCCAAACTCATGTGGTCATGAGTCAACTAAGATGCTCCCTTAGAATGGTATCCCTTGCATGGGGTGCATATCAACTCCTCTGCTGAGGCAGCTGGGATGTAGATCTTCCTGAAGAGGCCCCAGCATACTTCTCTCCTGGGTTCCCGATCACGGGTTCACTCTGCTCACTTCCCAAGCTCCTTCAGGGGCAGGGACTGCGTGGTGCACACTTCCTCTGTCTAAAATAATCACATGCCTTGCCCAGCCAGTGTGGCTCAGCGGCTGAGCGTCGACCCATGCACCAAGAGGTCGCCGGTTCGATTCCAGGTCAGGACACATGCCCGGGTTTCGGGCTCAATCACTGGTGGGGGGCATGCAGGAGGCAGCCAATTGATGTTTCTCTCCCATCAATGTTTCAATCTCTCTCTCCCTCTCCCTTCCTCTCTTTCTAAAATCAATTTAAAAAATAAAATAATCATACACCCGACAATCATTTACGGAATGGATAAATTCTTTAGGCCCAGACATATGGCACCAATTTCCTTCTTTCAGGCAAGACTGAGGAATAAAAGAAATAATAGCTTGGACGTTGGGAGGTCGGGCTGTTCCTGGCCAACTCCTATTTATCCTTTACGACCCAGCTCAGGTTCCCCTGTGAAGCCTTCCCCTCAGGTACTACTATCTTGCCCACTGCACTTGTAGTCCTCCATTACAGCAATTTGCAACCTTTTCATCTCATGGCACACAAACTTATTATTAAAGTTCTGCAGCACACCAAAACAATGTATTTTTTGCCGATCTGACAAAAAGTAGGTGTAACTTTGATTTATACACACTAGATGCCTAGTGTTGTGTTGGTTGTCATTTTTTAAAATTTGACAATCTAGGGAAAAGAGGTCAGTGCCCCTGACTAAATAGTCAGATATTGCATGTTTTAAAAATTCTTGCAGCACACCAGTGTGTTGCAGCACATGGGTTGAAAAATCGCTGCTCCCTTACAGCACTCTCCCTACCGTACAGCGCCAATGCCCACTTTATATTACCTGTCTCTCCGCCCACTACACTGTAAAGATCCTTTGAGGGCTGAGAATCTTTTATCACCTATCACTGTGTCTCCCACATGGGGGATGTTCCAATAAATTGTTGTTGAATAAATGAATGAATGGAATGAAAATGTCAGGATAATGATAATGACAAACACTTATATGGTGTTTATCATATACCCTGCAGTATTCTAGGCTCTTCACAAATACTAGAGGCCCAGTGCACAAAATTTGTGCTCTGAGGTGGGGCAGGGGGATGTCCCTCAGCTCGGCCTGTGCCCTCTCGCAGTTCGGGATCCCTTGGGGGATGTCTGCCTGCAGGGGATCAGGCCTAAGCCGGCAGTCGAACATCCCTCTCACA